AAAAAAAAAAAAAAAAAAAAAAAAAAAAAAAAAATTAGCTGTATTTATGAAAAAACTTCTTTATACTACTCCGCATCTGAAGTACACTATAATATCCACTGTTACTATTCAGCTACGAAAAATAAATTGCCAAAAAATTAGTGCATTTCTTTGTATTGAAATAATGCACAAGATTTTGAAGAATAAAATTATTAGTGCGTCGACAGTGCTGAGAGTTAGTGCGTTTTTTGCTCAAACAGCTGTTTGGACGATGAATGTTAAACAAACTTTGAAAAAGATCATAAAGTTTAAACTGTTATCATTATTATATCTATATAGGTACTCATTATTCCGCAGCACTAGATAACCAAACGCTGCTTTTGGTTAGAAAAATTTTTACTGCTAAGTGACTGAAGCAATAAGAGTGAGGAAAATCTGAAGTATTTAACTAAAAAATTTTTTAAAATAAAACCGGAAATGGATTTTGCAAAGTAGAATAATTCCCCTCTCTTATATTTGTATGCAATAATCATTAAAGCGGTGCAAAAAAAAAGCCCGACTTTCTTGTGTTAAAAAGCAGAAACCATAGGAACTTAAGCGATTTACATCTGGTACGTAGAATATACTTCACAAAAACAGTAATAAAAAAATTTTTTAATTCTAGTTCGTGCAACTATTATAGGCTACCTGTCTAAGTAGTCTAGTATAGGTTGAATTTTCTCAATAATTTCATGGAATAGTTCATTCGTTCAATGTTACATCAGTTTCTTTCGAAAAGAGCAGAAAATTAAAAAATTGTTGAATACAAGTGATTTTAGCAATTTTACCCGTCAAATTGTGAAAGAATGTGTTGCCGGTTAGCAGGTCTTCCCATTCAGTTCCCTGACCTGTAGTGACTGTGCCTTTGTCGTTCTGAGAAAGAAAAAACCAACCAAAAATTAAGGAAAAATTTTGTTTATTCTAACAGATGAATCATTACTTATCAAAAATACTGTCAATAAATGAGAAAAAACTTCAAGTTGCCTGTTACTAACAAATAATTTCAGCAAAAGTGGAGGATAATTGACCATGATATATCTTTTTTAAATGGACATTTGTATATGGAGTTCTGTCGCAACTGCACCTGTATACAACCACCTTTAAACGTTTTGACTCGACGAACAACTATCAAAGTTTTATTTCTATTCTTCTTTTCTTCTTTCTTTGCTCAGTAAAACTTCCATTAAAACAAGGTTAAGAAAAAAAAACAATTACAGCAACAAAAAATAATCCTTTTGTTGCATAATATTAAGAATGAAATCTATTAATCACCAGTCTGATAAAAAAATTTGAGCACCGAAATAAACAAGATCAGAAAAAAAGTGAATTTTGCAAACATCTGTGGGCAACAAACTATTGAGACATAGTCAGCAATAGTGCTATTAGCACTGTACTGGCAACTGATAATCCAGAAATCATTTGTGGAACTGAGCGGTTACAAAGATTGCTGTCACACGTACATACCTCCATATCACCTAAAGAATGAGGAAAATGGAGATGCTTACAGGTATTTATTACATATAAGTTTACGTCACATAGTACACTTTTTTAGTTGACCTCTCAGATTTTCTTTGAGATCCTGCCAAGTTGTAAGACTTGCTACCCGACTGTTGAGTTAAACAAAAATACCTCAGACTGGCGGCAAAGCTAAGGCTCTTTTAACCGCAAAAAAAAATCCATTTTTAGACAAACGTGGTCATTTTCAAGATCTTATAACTTTTTCTGTTCACAGCGTGTATTTCATT